GACAATTCGATTCTTAATAGCAGTCTCAGTGTTGGTTTTCCTCTTGCTGAATGCTTGACACAGGTTTTGCAGGTGGGACTTAAGTGTTGTGAAGAATCTCCAAAGAACCGTTTGGCAACGAGTGAAGCCAGAAAGGATTTAATCTTAATCAGAGAGAGGTTCTTTATAGCCAAACATTGATGTGTTTATTGTTTCCTCTACAGACTTCGCAACCCACTGAGAATGAAGGAATCTGAGACATGTATAATACAAGATTATGTATTTATGATTTTATTTCCCTTGGTGATCAACTTGAGGGTTTTAAAAATGTTGATAATCAAGAAAACTTTCAAAGAGATAGTAGGTTAACAGTCTGGTGTCCTAGTAACTTATCTTTTTGTTTAACTGAAACCTGTAAAACTATAAACAGAGGTTTCAAGTTCTGGTATGTCTTTTCAATGAATGATCTAACTGAATAGAGACAACCCCTGTTCTTTTTATAAACGCTGGCGTCAGCGGCAACGATTAAGAAAAACAACTATGACCACGGCAAATGTATCACAGTCCAGGCAAAACAGATTTCTTTTTCAGCCGCTACAGTAATTAATAACTTCCAGAAGTTGACGCTGGAATTAACAGCGGCAACGGTAACTCTGTTTTTTTGTCTCCGTTCGTTCCTTGGCGCCTGACGCCAGTTTTGAGATCAATAAAATCACTTCCGTTGTAGGTTTATTTCTTGCCGCTGCGGCTGACGCCAGCGTTGATCAAACGAACAGGGGTACAGTCCCATGTATAAAATGGTGACTATTTTGGTGGCTTCATTTATCAATCAGTTGGGTTGTTAGTGTTTAATCAGCTTGTGACATGAAGCTCTCTACCTTTGGGTCAACAATGTGCCCATTTTTTTAGGATTAATAAAAGCATGTCCGGCCCCGTATAAATTGCTGTCTAAAGCAAAAAACTGTGCCCCCTTGGAGATGTACAATAAAGTATAAACACAAGGAAGGACAAAGCCACTAGATAACATGCAACCTTTTTACAATTGTGATGTCCTTAAATTACTATTTTAATTTGACACCTAAAATTGTAGCTTTACAAGTTTTAGGTCAGCACTGATTAATAGTAACAGCACTTATTGGTCCCCAATGGAAGAAGCGCTTAGGAGTTTATGGTGGATAAATGTAAAACCTGCAAAGGAGAGAGATACCGGGAAGCCAGAGCATCATTAGTGGGGGTTTCTACACTTGGGATCCTAAAAATATATATGTGTGTATGTATATGTTATATATGTGTATGTAATTGTGGGTTTCTAGCTTTATGGGAAACTCAACCGAAAGTTTCTAGAATAAGACTGATCCTAATAAGGAACTATTAATTTGTTAATGTAATTAATTACAGGTACAATATATTAGTTGACAAACGATATGACTGATATAAGAGTTTCCTGATATTATTACCTGTGAATCTCCTTGTGATAATGTTATTAACTAAATTAAATATCAATATTGGACAAAAAAAGCATACAATAAGGACACAAAATGACAAGAATTGGTTAGGACCAAGAAATGTAATCTATACTATTAAAACACGAGGTCTTTTTTTTTGAGGTCCCCTTGATTTTTGGAAATATTTACAGATCTTTGCCACTGTATTATTTAAACCTATAGTTTTTATTAATTATTTTTCCACCAAATCTTTTTCCACCAGATCTTTTTCCAACAAAATATATATTGCCCTGATTATCTCTCCATTTTAGTTTTAATAACAATATTATATCATTGATTTAAACTACAAAATCAATATTCCTAAATGTCGACAATTATGGTGATAATTATAGAATTATCATGTTTATTAATTACCTTAATATATTTGTAATTTTTATTTATAATTTGCTTTTTGACTATATGGTAAAAAGTAATTTTCCTAATGATATAAAAAAGCATTTTTAAGCAAATACGAAAGTACTTAATGTTAAATAGTAATTTGCTGTTATATAACAGATTATGAAATCATGAACCAGAGATTATATATGTACACCATTTATGCTAATAACTTATCTTTCAAGTAAATGTAATGTAATAGAGTAGGACTTTCGATTTATAACAAACAAACATGTAAAATAAAAAGATATATATAGCGCATCATAAAATTTAAATTGAAATATAGTTTTTATAGTAATTCATCAAATAAAAAAATAAAAAAAATAAAAAAATAAAAAAATCGAATTTTCATTTTATTTATACAATAAATATGTAAAATAATATACCTAGAACTTAAATTGTTATAAACCTTTTAAAAATATTTTGTAAAAAGTATTATAAAGAACTAACAAATTTAAGAGTATACATTTATTAGAATGTAACAAATAAATTAATATGTGAGATAATCTCTTCAACTAGATAACTTATTAAGAATACTTCGTAATAGCATCATTTAAAATATTTCTCCTCTTTTCAGTTATCTTCTTCATTACGACGAGATTTGCATCCAAACAAATATGAAACAAATGTTAATCATATAAGAATAAAAATGGTGATATTAAGGATATAATCTAATAAAATGAATATAACTTGGATTATGCGGAGATTTCAAAACGATAACAAAACTTAATTGTTTTCATATTTATCTAAATGAGTATTATTTTTTAATTTGAAAATAAAATAAATAGAAAGAAAATATTGTTTGGTTTATACATTTCAAATTAATAGTTTTTCCTATCATATCTAACTATAGTTGTATTTAATCAATATTAATTTATTTATATATTTAAAAAAACTAAATTCTCATTGTTTCCTATATGTTTTGGCATATACTTTTACTTTTATATATTAAACTTCCTTTACTATATATATGAGTCATATTATGTTCTCTACTATGAATATAACTTAAGTTTAATATATATAAGGGTCAAAATTTTCATTTGTTATATAGTTTATGGGTAAAAATTCATTTGTCATATGTACTGGAATAAGTTAAACTTTTTTTAATGTGTTCATTTTCTACAGGTCAAAAAATATTTATCAAGTTGCAAACGGCTTGAACAAATAGATTTTTCATTTCTATTATGAACTAACAAACGGGTTAATAGTATTATTAACAGGAAACAATTATGCACTATCAAAGTGCGGGTCAAAATCTAGACTAATATATTGGAAACATATATATGTGCCAAACTCGACTGTCTTAAACTAGGATTGTACCATTGAAATAAATATATTTAATATTTAATTTATTAGATGTAGTTATTATTTATGAACACTATTTTCCTCCCTCTTAATTAACCTAACAAATACTATTTGTNTGTGTGTGTGTGTGTGTGTGTTGTTAATAATTAAAATTTTATGCATAAAATGTTTTTTGAATGTAAAAGTTCGAAATGAATATGTCAACCTATTTTTAATATACATAAAACCATATCTAACATTTTTATTCTATATCACAGTTTCTACCAAGTAAATAATAGCAATCATAAAAAAATAAAATTTAAGTCTAAATTAAAATAGAACCAGTAATAAATTATCAATAATAGAAATTAAATAATAGTGAAAAACGAGTACATTTTTTTGGTGTTCTCTATCGCCTTTCTCTTCTTCTTTTTTTATCAGACAACGTAGTATTTCTTTTAGTAAAGAATCACAAATAAAATATACTATTCAATTTCATGTACTCATTTTAAAATATATAAAATTTTGATCAATTTTTTTAGATCACCAATTTTATCTTAGTTTTACACGGGTCAATCAGTGCTAGGTGACATGTTACTAACGGATTTTGGATTCTTACCAAAGTTTTATCAAAATCTTGAATAGCGGTGAATTAGTTAAATCTGAACTGCAATATATACATATCACTAATTTTAGTTGCTCAATCTCAAACCCGTGTCGGGTATGAAAACACTGCTCAACACAATTATAAATGTATTAAGTTGCAAAATTTCAACACATGTAATTTTATAATTATCAAATCTTTGTTTCGTATAAATCAATTTATAAAGAAAATATATCCGCTCTTGAAAAGATATGTGGTTNTTCAACACATGTAATTTTATAATTATCAAATCTTTGTTTCGTATAAATCAATTTATAAAGAAAATATATCCGCTCTTGAAAAGATATGTGGTTGTCGCATGTCCAAGATATATTAAAGAGATATTGTCGGTATATTTGTGTTGGGCTTGGGTCGTTAATATGATGTATTGATTTATTTACGGGTTTGCAATAATCATTCCCAGTTGTATTTTGAATTTGTATGTTATTTTCTTATATAATTGTTTTGTTAATCATATTTTTAAACACATACCGTCTATATAATACAATGTCAATTTTTATGACCATAATTTTAAAATAAACAGTCGGTTGTATCTCTATTTATTTTATATGACAATAATATCAACCAAATTGTTTATAATAGTACCCTAAAATTATTTCTTTTTTTATAAAAAATAAGTTTGAACTCAAAATATAAACTATTACAAATAAATACTTTAGATTATCGAATACAACTCATAATTTCATCGGATCTCTAAAATTTGTTATCTAATAAGAAAAATCAAATTTATACCACGCATTAAATTGTATGTAATCGTATTTAATCTATATATGTTGGACCAAACCAAAATTATTAACGACAATCTATCTGAATCCGGATAGTCATGTCTATACATACTTGTGAATAATCAAACAAGGACATAAATTTAAAGTAAAAATGGTTGTCCCGTCCTCTTTAAGGACGGGTCAAAATCTAGTGAGTTATTAATCAACTAACAAACAAATTTAAAGTCTTGAAAACGTCGAAGATCAAGCAGACTAATGATCATTGACTTGACTGCTCTTTAATTAGTCTTAAACAATTATTATCTGGTAGTTCGCAGGGATAAGCTCACATCTAATATGTCTCATAGCTCAACTATTTGATACAAAATAATAAGAATAAAAAATTAGAAAAGAGAAAACACACATATTATATAACTCCACTCACATACGTTAGAGCCGTCGTCAACAACTACACCAGTGGCGGAGAGAATGAACGTCGGAGGAATATCCAACATGGACTTAATTTACAAGAACCCAAATGAACCCGTAGAAGCTCGAATTCAAGACCTCTTACAAAGAATGACAGTTGAAGAGAAGATCGGTCAGATAACTCAGATCCACAATGGCGTTTCCTCAGCCACGGTCATCAAAAACTTCTTTATTGGTAAAATTTTCAATTCTCACCACTAAGAGAATGATATATAATGTTTGTTAATAATGTCTCTATCTGTGCAGGCAGTGTATGCAACACAATCGTGAAAAAGGTTAAGAATGAGTCGTTAGAGGAATGGGCGGAGATGATTGACGGTTTTCAAACTGCTGCTCTCGAGACTCGTCTGGGCATACCAATCATATATGGCTTGGACGCACCTCACGGCAACAGCAAATTCTATGGCACCACTATTTTTCCTCACAACATAGGACTCGGTGCCACTAGGTTGTCCTAATCACTTTATGATAGGTTAATAATCCGAGGAGATGCTAAACCGAATTCAATTGGTTAACTTTGTAGAGACGAAGATTTGGCTAGAAGGATTGGGACAGCGACTGCCCTGGAAATTAGGGCAAGTGGGGCTCACTGGGTGTTTGCCCCTTGTGTGGCTGTAAGTCTTCTTAACTCTTTCTTAGGATACAAGAAACAGAAAATCTAAGAGCAGAACATGGTCAACCCTAATTTAGAGAGTCTTCAACAATTTAAAGTGAATCTTAAGAAAATAAAATTTAGTAATCACCGACCTATGTATATAATAGCTCCTTCAAATTTGGGCGGCAAGTCAATGTTTTATCCGGCTTTATAGATTTTTCGCAGAAGAGTATGTAAACATGCTTGTGGGCATTTACAGGTGTGTAAAGATCCAAGATGGGGAAGATGTTACGAAAGCTACAGTGAAGAGACTGACGTAGTCTGCAAGATGACATCTTTCGTTTCCGGTCTGCAAGGAACTCCACCGCAAGGACATCCCGCCGGTTACCCTTTTCTAGCTGGAAGGTGAATCTTAGGTTCAACCATATATTTCTTTGATGAGCACATAACATCTAATTATATCCTTACACTTTGGATATTGTTCCAATCACAGAAACAATGTTGTTGCTTGCGCCAAACATTTTGTTGGAGATGGTGGTACCGAGAAGGGTAAAAATGAAGGGAACACGATTTTGTCATATGAAGACTTAGAGAAGATACATATTCCTCCATATCTGAAATGTTTTGATCAGGGAGTCTCAACGGTTATGGCGTCTTACTCAAGTTGGAATGGAAGTAGACTCCACGCAGATCGTTTTCTCTTGACAGAAGTTCTCAAGAAAAAACTCGGTTTCAAGGTTAAATCTCTGCTTGTTTTTATCTACAACACCAGGGTCAATTTTTATCAAAATCAGTTAGTGCTTTGCAGGGATGTTTGGTTTCAGACTGGTCGGGAATTGATAGGATGAGCGAACCACGTGCCTTGACCTATCGTGAATGTGTGGCGGCCTCTATGAACGCTGGAATAGACATGGTCATGGTCCCTCATCATTATGAGCGGTTCATCAATGACCTGACGGATCTTGTTCAATCCGGGGAGATTCCGATGTCTAGAATCGATGATGCAGTTGAGAGGATTCTCAGATTAAAGTTCACGGCCGGTCTTTTCGAACACCCTTTTTCAGACAGATCATTACAAAAGTTTGTCGGCTGTAAGGTAAATTATACTCCCTCGGTTTTTTTATATGAAGTTATACTTAATTTATACATTTTCTAGATAAACATTATTAACTATCTAACTAACCACATTATTAACCAATAAAAAAATAATTTGCAAAACTTAAAAAGTTATATTGCATAAAAAAATTTAATAACATTTACATTAAAAATCGACAACTACATGTAATTTGAAACAAAAAGAAATCTTCAAAACGTTAATATATTAAAAACAGCTTGAGTATTTTACTCCATCCGTTTCAATATAAGTGTCATTTAGACATATTTCACGCAAATTAAAAAAATAAATAAATATACTAATATGCCCTCATTTAAAGTATAATTATTTAAATAAAAATAATTTTTAAAAATATCTACTGGTTAGTTAAAAGGATGATAAAGAGATATTATGTACTCCCTCTGTTTCAATATAAGTGTCACTCTACAGCTATACACACAGATTAAGGAAACAATTAATTTTACATATTTCCTATAAAAAAACACAATTACCCACACACCTAACCATATTTTAACCAATAGAAAAACAAATTACATAATAAAATTAATAAATTTAGCATTGAAAACCGAAAACGACACTTATTTTGTAACACAAAAAATTCTCTACAACGACACTTAATATAAAACGGAGGGAGTAAAAAATTGCATTGGAAATGTTAAGTGACACTTATTTTAAAACAACAAAAAATTGGTAGAATGACACTTATTTAGAAACAGAGACTAATATCTAAAACCTGAAACCTTGTTTGCTATGGCATAATCAACATCCTTTTGTGTTCAACGACTATGTTATGGTGTGTTGCAAGTAGGAACATAGAGAGATAGCCCGTGAAGCAGTGAGGAAGTCTTTAGTTCTGTTAAAGAACGGGAAAGACTCAGAGAAACCGTTTCTTCCGCTAGATCGAAACGCAAATAGAATCCTTGTGGCCGGAACTCATGCTGATGATATCGGTTTTCAATGTGGTGGCTGGTCCAAGACATTTCATGGTCTCAGTGGTCCAATTACGATCGGTGAGGAAAATAACTCTGTTCAAAAAAAAAACTCTGTTTCTTCTACACGAGTAGTTCCTTGACAAACAAGCTAACTATTTTTACATCCTCTGTTTCTCAGGTAAAACAGTTTTAGACGCCGTTAAAGCTAGCGTAGGATCTGAAACAGAAGTGGTTTATGACAAGACTCCCTCCGAGGAGACTTTTTCGGGTAAAGATTTCTCCTACGCGATTGTAGTCGTTGGGGAAGCACCGTACGCAGAGACGCTAGGCGACGATCCTGAGCCGTCGATACACTTTGGTGGGACCGAGGTAATGAGAATGGTGGCTGAAAAGATCCCGACCTTAGTGATTCTAATAACGGGACGACCAGTGGTTTTGGATCCGGCAGTGTTGGAGAAAGTCGAGGCTTTGGTGGCGGCTTGGTTGCCTGGAACAGAAGGAGACGGTATCACTGACGTGGTGTTCGGAGATTATGATTTCAGTGGAAAGTTGCCGATGTCGTGGTTCAGAACGGCTGAGCAGTTGCCTATTAACTCTGAAGCTGAAGGGTATGATCCATTGTTCCCTGTTGGGTTTGGTCTGAAATGTAAGAAATGGTAATATGTCTGAAGATTGTCTCTTTAAGAAAAGACTATGTGTTTCTTTAAAAGATTATGTGTTGCGTATCTATTTAAATAAATGAAGTTTTAATGTTCTTTTGAGTTTGTTATAATTAAGGCTTGCAAAATATCTGTAATTTTCTATTTGATTCGTTCTAAAAAATTGGATATCTATAACTCTACAAAGCACAATAAATAATAAAATGTAATACTAATTTAGGAACGGGTTAATAATAAAATAAATAATAAAATGTAATACTAATTTAGCAAAATAAATAATAAAATGTAATAAAATGAAACAAGTCACAAATACTAATTTAGGAACGGATATTTGATCCGATATATACATATATTTAAAGAAGTTATATAGAAATTATATAAATATTATATTTCGTATAAGTATATAATATTTTTATTTATTAAATTTATTATTTTAGTTATTATTTTCTAAATTAATTCTTTTAGTTTTTTTGTGATAAAATATTATTATTTTGAATTTTTTATTTATTTTTTAAGTTTTAGTTTATTTGTTTGGATCGAATAGGATATGAGTTATACTGTATATCCGGACTATTGGTGTCCACCCCTAGCTATAATCTCACTGTTATCAAGAGTTACACCTTCAAGTATGACGTTTACGAATGATTCCATTTTTTTATTTGTTCGTACAATAAACAACAAGCATTAGGGTGTCTTGTCCAAATTAGCGGCCACGTGTCTTATATCTTGTCTATAAAAAGCGAAGAGGTGAAATTGTCAGAAGAGGAGGAAAATGGTTGACAATGAGAAGTCAAGCGTTTACAAGAACCCACACGCGCCAGTGGAGGCGCGTGTAAAAGACCTTCTCTCCCGCATGACTCTGCCGGAGAAGATCGGTCAGATGACTCTTATCGAACGCAGCGTAGCTTCTCCCGCCGTCATTACAGATTTCTCCATCGGTATATACACAAAGCACTATCTCTTTGTTTTGGTCAACGGAACAAACTTCTACTTTTCGAACACTGTTGACTAAGATCTTATGTTTTGTCTTGCTCTCCATTGTTTCTCTTGTCTTAAATATAATAGTGTTTTATGGATTTTTGGTTTACGCAGGTAGTGTACTGAACGCTGCGGGAGGGAGTTGGCCGTTTGAAGACGCAAAGTCATCAGATTGGGCGGATATGATCGACGGTTACCAAAACGCAGCTTTGGCGTCGCGTTTGGGAATCCCAATCATCTATGGCATCGACGCCGTTCACGGAAATAACGATGTTTACGGCGCCACTATCTTCCCTCACAACATTGGCCTTGGAGCCACCAGGTGTGATTACAAATAACGGGGTTGACTTTGACTTAACTTGATCTGTTTGACTGTTTTCTGATAAAGACTTGCCTTCACTGACTTAACGTAACTTAAAGTTGTGATTATGTTAATTCAAGTGACTCAAAATCTCACAATGTAATAAGATGTTGATGTTAATAGTAGTTGCAATAAAAGTGATTAGTTATTGGTTGTGTTCAAGATAGATGTAACTTTCATGACCAGGATGTGTGTTTGGTTGCTATTAATGTGATAACAATAATAGTTGTTGTGGTACGGTACCTCTATAGAGATGCAGAGTTGGTGAGAAGAATTGGAGCTGCAACAGCACTTGAAGTAAAAGCGTGTGGTGCTCACTGGGCATTTTCTCCATGCGTAGCAGTGAGTCCTATATATATACAGGATTTAGCTATAGTATTAAATATTTTGATTGCTTAGTCAACTGAATGAGATGGTGTCCTTAAAGGCTGTAAGAGATCCTAGGTGGGGAAGATCCTATGAGAGCTATGGTGAAATTGCCAAAATTGTTTCTGATATGACATCAATTGTTTCGGGTTTACAAGGCGAGCCACCAGAACAACACCTAGATGGTTACCCTTTCGTTGCAGGAAGGTAAAATACTATGGCTTTATTTGCGTCTTTAATATGTTCATTTTTCATTTCTCAACTATTTTGGTAATAGAAAAAATGTAGTAGCGTGTGCCAAGCACTTTGTTGGAGATGGTGGTACGGACAAAGGCATAAACGAAGGGAACACCATTCTTTCATATGAAACCTTGGAGAGGATACACATTGCTCCCTATAAGAAATGTATTGCTCAAGGAGTCTCTACCGTTATGGCCTCTTACTCAAGTTGGAATGGAGATAAACTTCACTCCCACCATTTCCTATTAACAGAAGTTCTCAAACAAAAACTAGGGTTCAAGGTTACTTGAGTATGAAGACATTCTATAATAAGCTAGAGGTGTGTGTATTCATTGAGTTTGTCTGATATCATTTTTGTTGTTGGTTAATCAGGGATATGTAGTTTCAGACTGGGAAGGTTTGGACCGGCTTAGCCCACCAGTTTCAGGCTACCGCAACTGCATCAAAGTCGCAATTAATGCTGGAATAGATATGGTATTGAATTCTTTTTTTCTTCTATATTTTGGATTGTGTGTTTATAAAAAAGGCAAAGATATTAAATCAATGTTGTTATTGCAGGTGATGGTACCTTTCAAGTACGAAGAGTTCATACATGACCTTATTGATTTGGTGGAGTCAGGGGAAGTACCGATAGCTCGTGTTGATGATGCAGTTGAAAGAATACTCAGGGTGAAATTTGTAGCTGGTCTCTTTGAATTTCCTCTCACAGATCGCTATTTGTTGCCTACGGTGGGTTGTAAGGTGAGCTCTCATGTAACAAATGCAATTAAACCAAAGTACTACACTGCTTGAGAGAACTCATATGTTTCCATGCGATCAGGAACACAGAGAATTGGCTCGTGAAGCTGTTAGAAAGTCATTAGTTCTGCTGAAAAACGGAAAACATGGACGATTGTTGCCACTAGACAGCAATGCGGAGAGAATTCTCGTGGTTGGAATGCACGCTGATGATCTTGGATACCAGTGCGGAGGATGGACAAAGACAATGTATGGTCAAAGCGGAAGGATCACAATAGGTAATTAAAGATTAGGAAAATATGGTTTGGAAAGTGACTTCAAGTGAACATGTTACATGGTCTTGTCAGAAATGTGATATACATTATTGTTTTAAAAATGTAGGCACAACACTTCTAGATGCCATAAAATCAGCGGTTGGAGACAGAACCGAAGTGATCTACGAGAAAACTCCATCAAAGGAAACCTTAGCCTCGGGGAAAAGGTTTTCTTATGCAATTGTGGCGGTGGGAGAAGCTCCCTATGCAGAGACCCCAGGGGATAATTCAGAACTCATAATACCTTTCAATGGTAGCGACATTGTAACTGCCGTGGCAGAGAAAATCCCGACTCTAGTGATCTTGTTTTCAGGACGGCCTATGGTTCTAGAGCCGGAGGTTCTTAAGAAGACAGAGGCTCTGGTCGCTGCTTGGTTGCCTGGAAGCGAAGGTCAAGGGATTACTGATGTGATTTTTGGAGATTATGACTTCCGAGGTAAGTTACCAGTGAGCTGGTTTAAAAGCGTAGAGCAGTTGCCGCTAGACATTGATTCAAATGGGTATTTACCATTGTTTCCTCTTGGTTTTGGTCTAAGTTGAGATTCTTTGCAGAAATCAAAACTGGTTATAACTTCAAGTGTTTTTATTGAGGAACACGATGCAAATAAGTGATATAGTAAAAGGTCACATGTTACCCACTTGTTTGTCGTTGTTGTAACTTTTTCTAAATTTTCAAGGGACTTTTTTCTCTTACTGATATTGTCGAAATTGTTTCAAAACTCTGGTTCTTACATTGATATAATGTTTGTTTTTGTTCTACACATTGGTAAAATTACGGTCCAGAATTTAGGTTTTTTCTTAGAGAAATACAATGAAATAACTTTTACTGGTGTTGTTTTTCATCCGAGAGATTATATTTATGAATGATACACGAACTGGTGTGTACATGACTTAGGAAAGAGTAGGCAACGGCTAGGAATCTATCGAGGAGAAATAAGATGTCAATCAAACAATATGTAGTTATATATATGGACGTGATTGTGTTTTGCATAATTGCTTTGTAGCCCTTCATGAATACTTTTTCTTAGACTGTACATACTACATTCTACCAAATCTGTCAAACAACTGATGACTATGATACCACACTCACTTAAGAAAAAGAAAACTCACTTTTGGTATAGAAATAGTGTGAAAACAAGAACAGCAAAACTGGATATCAAATCGATCCAAGAAAACACAACATAGTTGCAAGAACAAGTTGTGATGATAAACTCAAAGTGAGGCTTCTTTAAATTTATTTGCTAGTTATACTATTATGGGTCCGATTGGCAGAAGGACTGTTGAGGCTTTAGAGAATTTAACAGCCCTTAAAGTTAATTTTTCCCCAATCAGACTTTTCCTAAAAGTTTGTGACTTAAAGTCTTCACAGCCCGTAACTGTTTTTTCTTCCATTTTTACGTGTGTTTTCTAACAGCCAGGGAGTCATGACTTTAAAGGATTCTGAGAAAATAAAACTTGACTTTTTTTCTTTGTTTTTTTTTCTTCTCCTCCCAAAAAAAAAATCAAAGTGCATCCCTACATCAACGTATGTTTCATTGCAAGAAATAAATTCATTAGTACGCAACTACTCTTTAATTAATCAAAATTATTTTTTACTCATAACCCAAAATAACACTCAAATTGGTAATGAGATATAATCAAAAACTTTTTCTTGATAATTGATTTTAATAAAAATATTTGTTTAGGTAAGTGATTAAAATTAATAATGAAAAGAATTATCCAAACTCTAAGAATATATATATTAAAATAAAAGATAATTATATATATTGTATTGTTATCCGAAATATCTTTTAATAAAAATTTCAAATTTCAAAACAGTAAACACATAATTCAATATTGATCAGTTATAAAATACTTTATTATATATAATAAAAAAAGAACAACATATGGGCTAGAATCCGTTAACTTTTTAATAATTCTTTTTGTTTTATTTAATAAATTGTAATCTTATTTTAAACTGAATTTTTAATAATTTTTATTTATTTAATAAATTATTAACTTATTTTCAATTTAATAAAAAATAATTTTGTTGGTTACCATTTTAAATTTTTACAATAAAGAAATAAAATATATTGTTGATAACTTTGATTGCGTTTGTGTGTTTAAACTACCCAATATATTTTATGAACTTGTATAAATAAAAAATAGGTAATACATTTTGGAAAATGAATTATAAACATATATTTATAACAGTCACAGGTTCTAAAGCTTTGAATACCAATCAGACTTTTAACTTCTTCTAAAGTAACTGTTACAGTCTTTAAAGCTAAAATCTCTACAGCCACAATTCTAAAGTCAAAGCCTAAAGCGAAAGTCATTACCAATCGGACCCTATATGTAAAACGTTAAAATTCATTTGAAAAAGCAAGTTGTTTGGAACTTCAAGATTTTTCTTGTGTTTGCAAGTTTAAAGTGCGTTAAGTGACAAGCTCAAGTTAAGAAAAACAAATGATAGTTGGTAATGCTGTCAGGCCCGTGATGATAAGCTTTTGGCGTGTATGGAACTAATGTTTTAATTAAACTGACTAGTTACTAGTGTAGGTTTTTATTTAATTTGAGAATAGTTCGATGCCGACAAAAGAAATAAAAAACAATGACCGTATAGGTATTGCGTCATAGCGATAAGGTTCTGACGTGTTTAGTAATTAACCTAATGATTAAAATTCGCTGACTAGTGTTTTTCAGTTAATTTAATTTGTAACGTGTCTTTCTATGATTGGTTCAAAGTTAGAACAGTTCAATATATAATGTTAACGAAATAATCAAATCAACCGAAGCCAAAAACAACAGCTATATATAAGGACAAATAGGTTAGAAGTAGTTAACTTGTGACAGAAGAAAAAAAAGAAAGAAAAGAGTATGGAAAGAAAAGAAGAAGCATGCGTTTACAAAAACCCAGACGCGCCAGTGGAGGCGCGTGTTCAAGACCTTCTCTCTCGGATGACTTTGGCGGAGAAGATCGGTCAGATGACTCAAATCGAACGCGTCGTCACTACTCCTTCCGTCATTACAGATTCATTCATCGGTATATAGACACCATTTTTGTTTTTTTGTTTTGTTTGGTCAACGAACAAACTTTGTCTCATTTAAATGTGAATATACTAAAAATATAACAAATGGATTTGGGAGTTACAGGGAGTGTACTGAACGGCGGAGGGAGTTGGCCGTTCGAGGACGCTAGGCCATCGGACTGGGCTGATATGATCGACGGTTACCAAAACGCAGCGTTGGCGTCGCGTTTGGGAATCCCAATAATATACGGCATTGACGCCGTCCACGGCAACAATAACGTTTACGGAGCCACCATCTTCCCCCATAACATCGGATTAGGAGCCACCAGGTTTAATCCCAATCCTCATGCTCTTTCACTTAACAAATGGACAGAGGAGTTTTAAAGTTTAGTAACGTACATAGATTTTATGGTCCTAAAATTTTGACAATATATATTTTTTTAATTTTACCTTGAAAAGTTTATTTGGCTCTCTCAAGTCTGGCCTTGAACAGAAGTAATAGTATTTGAAGGTGCTGTTGAATGTGAATAACAATGGTTAGCTCTTTGATCAAAAAAAAAAAACAATGGTTAGCTCTTGTGGTATTTCGACAGGGACGCAGATCTGATCAGAAGAATTGGGGCTGCAACAGCACTTGAAGTAAGAGCCATTGGTGCTACCTGGGCGTTTGCTCCTTGCGTAGCCGTAAGTTAGTTATACATGTTAAAATATTAAATGAAATAATCACTAGGGTATATACTCCATGATTGATTCAACTGCTGTTGAATCTTGTAGTTAAAAAAAAAATGTTTTTGATTAGTTTTGGTTAAGCCAATACCTCTTCACCCTCTCTTTTCTTGTAATTTTCCTATAGGCTTTGAGAGATCCGAGATGGGGGAGATCCTATGAGTGTTACAGTGAAGATGCTAACATCATATGTGAGCTGACAACACTTGTCTCGGGCCTTCAAGGCGAGCCACCTAAAGAACACCCTAATGGTTACCCTTTTCTTGCGGGAAGGTATGTCTACGGCTTGTTAAATTATTAGCTTTGATGTCATTGCTCATGGATTTGGTCACTATGTGATAGGAACAACGTGGTTGCATGTGCAAAACATTTCGTTGGAGATGGTGGTACCGAAAATGGCACAAACGAAGGGAACACTATTGTGTCATTCGAAGAATTGGAGAGAGTGCATATTCCTCCATATCTAAACTGTCTTGCTCAGGGAGTCTCCACTGTTATGGCATCTTACTCCAGCTGGAATGGAAGTAAACTACACTCTGACTATTTCCTCTTGACAGAGGTTCTCAAACAGAAACTCGGTTTCAAGGTCAGCCAAAAAAATTAATTAATTATGAAATAACAAGCCAGAGGTGTATGAACTAAGCTGGTCAGTGGTCACCTTTGCTTTGTATTACCAGGGATTTATCATTTCAGACTGGGAAGCTTTGGACCGGCTTAGCGAGCCATTTGGTTCAAATTACCGACACTGCGTCAAGATCTCAATTAATGCTGGAATAGACATGGTAGGTCTCTAAAACCTCTTGTTAATGATTCAGAGTAAGAAATGAATGAACATTAGGTTACTAATCTTTCATTTAATGCAGGTGATGGTGCCTTTCAAGTACGAACGGTTCATAAATGACCTAACAGATCTGGTGGAGACAGGGGAAGTGTCGATGGCTCGGATTGATGATGCTGTTGAAAGAATACTTAGAGTGAAGTTTGTAGCTGGTCTTTTCGAACATCCTCTCACAGACCGATCTTTATTGGCTACTGTTGGCTGCAAGGTGAGGTTTATTTTACATAAGTGTCATTTGATTGGAGGGGCATGATTGACTCTTTTTTTCATGATTTCAGGAACATAGAGAATTGGGCCGTGAAGCGGTTAGAAAGTCTTTAGTTCTACTAAAGAACGGTAAAAATGTTGGTAAACCGTTTCTTCCACTAGACCGCAATGCCAAGAGAATTTTAGTCACTGGAACGCATGCGGATGATCTTGGCTACCAGTGTGGAGGATGGACCAAGGCATGGTTCGGTCAGAGCGGAAGGATCACAATCGGTAATTAAAACAACAGTTTGTAGTAAATGTTTTTAGAAATATAATAATCTGAATGGATCTGTTTTGGTCTGAATATGTAGGCACAACGCTTTTGGATGCCATCAAAGCAATAGTTGGAGACAAAACCGAAGTTGTATATGAGATAACTCCTTCGGAGGAAACCTTAGCCTCGAGTGAAGGCTTCTCTTACGCGATTGTCGCGGTCGGGGAATCGACCTATGCGGAGACTACGGGGGATAACTCAGAACTCAAAATACCTTTCAATGGTAGTGATATTGCAACGGCGGTTGCGGAGAAAATCCCAACTCTGATGGTCTTGTTCTCAGGACGGCCTGTGGTTCTTGAGCCGATGGTTCTTGAAAAGGTGGAGGCTATAGTTGCTGCTTGGCTGCCTGGAAGCGAAGGGCAAGGAATGGCTGATGTGATCTTTGGAGATTATGGCTTTGAAGGGAAGTTACCAGTGAGCTGGTTCAAACGCGTTGAGCAGTTGCCGCTAAACGCTGATGCGGAGTTGTATGACCCGTTGTTTCCTCTTGGTTTCGGTCTCAATTGAATTCCAGCGGGAGTTCAAATCATGTTTAACTTCACTGGTCTGGCTATTGAAAAATAAATGATGCTGTTTGAGTGTGTTTGTAATATGAAAATCAAGTGATATGAGCGTGTGTGTGTG